GTGATGGTTAAATTATAAGAATTAAAAATTAAAATGAATAAAGATGAAATGAAAACCTCAGACCAACCACTAATGAATCCTAATATACATAGAGTCGATGTGGCTTTAGTCTATTAGTAACCCGATTTGAAGAGTTTGGCATTATTATAATATACCTCTCTTTGGGAAAAAAAAACTAGTACCCAGAGCTCAAATGTGATGAGTAGAGCACATGTTAGGACAATCTTCGAGATTTGCTCTGCCTTTTAGCTCACTCATCACATCCTTAGGGATTATGTCGAGGTCACATGGAGTGTTTACAAGGACCTCAGTGAGTTTGTCTTGCTTTACAGAGCTCTCCTTTTCATCGTCACTTTTTTCAGCCAATGTGCTCCCTTCCTTTTATTCCTCCTTAGAACCTCCCTCATCAAAAGAATCTGATTATTGGTGGGAAACGAATCCTGAGAAAAAATAATGGATAAAAGTAACTTGATCCCAAAAAAAGAAAAATGAAGTGAAGACCTTTTAAGAAAGGACAAGATATCAAGAAAAATTAATTGAGAGAGGAGAGTAAAAGTGGCAAGAAGTGGAAAAGATTGAACCTCAAAAAGAAGAACAACCAAAAAAGAAGGAAGGTTAACCATAGAAAATGGATCAACCTCGAAGATGGGGAAAGTAGGTGGATTTTAAAGTTTAAAGTCAATCTGAGCACACAGCTCTTTTATGCTCAAAACTCGCTCACCTCTTGCCTAACCATTCTCTTCATTGCGTTGCTGGCCTTCTTCGGACATTGGATTGAACCAATAAGCTATCCTTTCATAGTTAAGGCCCTTAATAATGGGGGGATCAAGTCGTTATCCTGTTGCTCTCATTGACCTCCCCTTGGCTCTAGCCTATAACTCTCAGTCCCTCTAAAACTCATACTAGAAGACATGGTTAGAAATACATATCAACATGGTGTAGAAAAAACTTGAAAGCTTGAAAAGTTGTTGAGATTGAAAATTTTAGGTCAGACTAAGAGTAAAGAAAGTAAAAGTGGAAGGTTGAAGCCTTACTAACCCATATATATATATATGTATTGCAGACCAGATGAACGACACAATCCATGCCATGTGTTGGAGCAAAGGCAGGTAGGCATATTTCAGTCTTTCTATTTTAAATCTTCCCATTCAAACTACCTCTTTTCTTATTTAATGCTGTCAAACTGTCTTAAATTGATGAACCCCAAATTAGACTGGCTGAACCAGATAACTGTCAAGGTTCAACCAAGAGCTTGATTCACCTTTAAGGTCTAAAATAGAAACTCAAATCCAAATTTTTGAAAGAAAACACAAGTCTTACCATGGCTTGACAAAATCCAGCAATGACCTCGAATCACACCAAACAATTATCACTTTGGTAACCTCCAAATCGATTATGCACTCAATCCAAAACACATGTGCGAGATCGGATAATCTTCAAGTTGGACTGTAGCTCAAAGCTAGTCATCATCCAAAATTGACCTCCTTTGAAATGTCAGCCTTTGACATACTATGTAGTCAATCTGCCTCACATCAAAGGATGTCAATAATAAATTTGGTGATCTGATACTTAGACCGCTTGATAGGGGGACCGAGTATTAGGGGCATTTGATGGTCAAAAGGGTATAATGTCTTTTCCTCTCTTAAAGCCTTCAGCAGGCAACCAAGTATATCGTTGTCATTTGTACTAACCTAACATGTCAAGTCGACCTGATATAGTTAGTGCCATCTTAACTCGGTCCTATTCTAATTGTTTTTTTTATGGTCTCCTTCAGCTTACCTAAAAATATGAAGACCCAAGCACCATGAAGCCAAGTTCATATTATTCATCTCTTTTTCTTCTTCCTACTTTTTCACTTCATTTTCGATCTGATCCTTATTGACTTGCCCATCAAAGTACAAACGTAGAGAACATCCCTTACTTTTTCCTCTAACTATCATTTCTTTCTGCATTTATAAGAATACTCTTAGGTTGAAGCTTGACACCAATAAAAAACAAAAAGAAAGACGAAAATTTATGGGAGATTTGTAGGTTTTATGGTGGCTATGAAAAAATGGAATTGAAGGAAAATGAAAGAGTTAGGAGAGAAAAGATAAAGATTTGGAACTCATCATGGGTTGTTTAGGGAGATGAAAGCAAGAATGAGTTTTTTCTTCATAGAAATTATATTTCGCCTAAAAAGAATGGAAAACAATTTTTGTATTTTCCCTTTAGGTTTTTTTTGACTTAATATTGGTTTTAGTTGACCAAGTCATTTTGTATATTCCAAACATGAGAAAATTTGAAAAATATTAAACCATTTTCATAGTTACCAAATGGAATCTTAATAGTAAATGAATAGTAATTTAATAGTCAATAATTGATAATTTAGTAGTAACCAGTAATAATATAATAGTATATGTATAATAACTTAGTAATAAATAAATTTTAAATGCATAACAATATAGCAATAAATCAGTGATAACTTATTAAAAAAAATGATAACTTAGTTATTAATTATTGATAAATTAGTAATAAGTAAATGATAACTTAATAATAACTTAACGATAATTTAATAGTAAATCAGTTTTGATTTAATATTAATTAATTATAGTAAATTATAAATAACTTAGTGATAAATCAATGATACCTTAATAGTAAATAATTGATAATTTAGTAATTAATAATTAAAAGCTTATGAGTAAATTAGTATAATTTAATAATAAATTATTGATAACTTAATAGTTAATTAATGATAACTTAATAATAAATTAAGAATAATTTAATATAAGGTTAATGTTAGATGGCTCTTGAATTATAATGAAATGTTCAATATGATACCTGAATTTTAAAAATCTCTAATTTAATAACTGAATTATGAATTTGTTAACTAATTAAGAAGCTAAAATATATAAGTTATCAAAATTATATGAAAAGTTATCAAAATTATATTAAGAGCTGTTAAAACTTTAGAAATATTGAAAAAATTATATTAATGGTTACAAAAATTATATCATAAGTTATTAAAATAATATAAAAAATTACTAAAATTATGTCAAAAGTTACCAAAATTTTATCGAAAATTCTCAATCTTTTAACAAAAGTTACCAAAACATGTTAAGTATTATCAAAATAAAAATTATACATAAAAAAAGTCAAATTTTACTTATATCATACCAAATCAAAATTCAATTGTTAATATTTATCATTTTTTTTAGTATAAAAAATTCTTTATTAGATTGAATTTGTAAAGATAAAATTACACTTGTATCATGCATGTGCTAAAAACTAATTGATATAAACGTCAAGTTTGTTGGAATCTCAATACATGAAGCTTAAGCCCTCCATTAGACATTCTTGTGTGTTGAGGAGATAAACCACACTTGAAGCCTATGAGAGTGCACCAGAGAGCCTATACATAGATTTTGGACACCATTTGAGCCAAAAAATCTTAAGCTATTAAATTCTTAGGTCCTTCATACATATATAAAATATCTCATTCAGATTTTCTAATGATGTGGGATTCTTTACTCACATGTGAACCGTATCCCAACAATCTTCCTCGTTCAATTGTGAGCTCTAATGAAGTCTCACATTGGCTCCCCCGTGCAAGTAAGTCCTACCAATACCTCATTTTGGCCAAGCAACCTCACATTTTTAATGCGTTTTTGGGCTATTCACTTGTGAGTTCTAATCAAATCCCACCTCGGCTTACCTGTGCAAGTAAGTCCTATCAACATCTCCTTTCAGTCAGGCAACCTCCTCCTTTAGGCTAGACAACATCACATTTTTAGTGCCCTTTTGGGCCAAGGCACAGCATTTAACTTGGCTACCTAGGTTGTCTTAATGCTTTCTCAAGCTTATACTCCAGATTGACTCAACATATCGTCCACTTAGGTGTTCCGCTTCTACATATTATCATAGACTCGCTGCATCCAAGTCAAACCTTTTAATATCGGTGTTCAAGCACATGGAGTTGATGGACGTAGTCAACCTCTAATCTACCAAACAATCTTCCCCCTAGCAACACTAGTGGGATTCGAACCCGTCATAACTTTGGTTCTGATACCACTTGTTGGAGAGATAAACTACACTTGAAGCCTATGAGAGTATACCAGAGAGCCCATACATACATGTTGGACACTACTTGAGTCTAAAAGCTTAAGCTATTAGGTTCTTGGATCTTTCATACATATATAGGACATCTCATTTAGATTTCCTAATGATGTGAGATTTTTACTCACATGTAAACCATATCCTAACAATTTCCCTTGTTCACTTGTAAGTTCTTGTCAAGTCTCACCTTGACTCCCCTGTGCAAGTAAGTTTATCAACATCTCCTTTAGGCCAGGTAACTTCACATTTCTAGTGCGCTTTTGGACCAAAGTATAGCACTCAACCTAGCTGCCTAGGTTATCTCAATGCTCTCTCAAACTTATACTCCAGATTGACTTAACACATCATTTACTTGAGTGTTTCGCTTTTGCATATTATCATAGACTCATTGCATTCAAGTCGAACCTTTTAATATTAACGTTCGAGCACATAGAGTTGATGTACGCGATCAATCTCTGATCTATCAACATTGTATTGGATCTGCTCCGTTTCGGCTTGTTAGTAGAAGTTCTGAAGCAGACAACTAAAGGTGATAAAAGGTTAGAGTCGGGGTTTTCTCTTGAGCTGAGCTCTGTTGATTCTTTGGCTATATTATCACTGTAGTATTTTCTCATTTTGAGGCACTGGTTATTATATCTTCTTGAGATGTTCGGGGTATTTTTAAACTGGTTTATTGTCTAAGTCACCCCTTTAAGATCATAATTGTCCTGGTTCTTGAGTGTAGTGTCGGAGACTTTCTGAAGATGGCAATGCATATTTACTTTTCGTGGGGGGGGGGGGGGGGGAGGTGTTTCCGTTCTACCTACTAAGATTGTTTGACTACCTTTTTTTTTTTTTTTTTTTTTTTTTTTTTTTAAGAATGCTGCCACCAACATAGTTGTCAAATGATATTAGCTAAACAAGTTAACCATCACAGAGTCAAACCTGAGGAACCAAGCAAGCTGAATTTAACATCTGCAGGATTCCAAGATCCAGAAAGCATATCTTAACCAAGAAAAAAAAAAGACAAGAAAACAGACGACGCTAACCACTTATCTTTTACATTATAAATTTAAGTTTGGGATTGCAAATTCAAAGTCTGATTTAAAATGATTCCCATACTCATTGAACTAAACATGACATGACTTGCCTAAAAGGTGCAAACATGAAGAAGCACAGCCATGTTAGTTTCCATCAATTGTATGGCAAACTTTCTGAGGATTTGTATGAGGCAATCAAATACTGATACAGGGAAGTATTTGGCTAGAATCCAAGCTATACTTCTAACATGAATACTATTTTCTCATAGATCACAAGATAAATAAACCGTATAAGAAGACATGGAGAACAAAAATAGCTTCAGGCATACTTAATAATGCACCTCAAGTATCATAAGACCTCCTTTTGGTTACCAACTCTTAGAGCTTTCAGTTGCAGATACCCAGGGTGTTAGAAAAAATTCTCTTTAGCTGATGCACAATGACAGCTCCGTGAATAATGTAAATTTTCATATCGTTCCTTCCTTTTCCTCTTCAATCATTAAACCAAAAATTGCAAGATTCCACCTTGAAAAATGCACCTGCCAATCCCCAATTACTCATGCTTTCTGTACTAGATGCTCAGAGTCTCCCAGCTCCACTTCACTTCCTTGCCATTCATTTTGATCTTGAAAAAGCAACTCAATCTGTTCCAATGACTTCCCCTTTGTTTCTGGAACAAGTGTGTAAACAAAGAGAACAGAAAGAGCTGACAAAAGTGAAAAGAGGAAAAAAGTTCCAGCCTCTGTAATTGTACGGGAAAGAGAAAGGAACGACATGGCAACAAAGCCACTGCATACCCTGTTACCAACAGCCCCAAGAGCAGATGCTTGAGCTCGCAACCTCAAAGGAAAGATTTCGGATGTCAAAATCCAGCAAATAGGACCCATTCCCACAGAAAAAAAAGATACATTTCCACAAACACACAACACAGCCAGTGCAATTCCGAGCTGCCCATTCCCCAGTAAGGCAAGGCTAAGGCTTAAGGTAAACAAACAGACAGTCATTCCAATTGTGCTCACATAGAGCAAGGGCTTCCTCCCTACTCTATCAACAAGAAATGTAGCAATCAATATAAAAGCAGTCTTTGTGACACCCACAGCAACTGTTGCAGCAAGAAGCTTAGAATTACTCTCAATCCCAGCATCCTTCAAGATTTCGGGGCTATAATACACAGTCGCATCTATTCCAGTGATTTGTTGGAAACACTGGATTCCAAAGCCAGTGATCAGCATCCGACGAAGTGAAGGAGAAGGGCTTAACAGTTCACGCCACACAGCTTTATCTTCATTCTTCTCTCCATTAGACATTCCAGCTGCAGCCACTATTTCTGAGAGCCTCTCATCCACCTCTTTCTCAATTTCATTTGTTTTTAATAGCACAGATCTTGCTTCTTCAACTCTGTTCTGCATGACCAACCACCTTGGTGATTCAGGGATAATGAAAAGTGCAAACCCTATGAAGATTGAAGGCAAAATTCCAACAGCCAGCATTACCCTCCAGTTTGTGTGTACTGAAAGACCGGAGAATGCATAATTTGAGACATAACCAAGCAAAATTCCTACATTTATGAAAATCTCTGGGAAGGAGGTAAGAGAGCCTCTATCAACGGTTGGTGATATCTCAGCAATATAGACTGGAGCAATCATGACCCCAAAGCCTATGCCAATCCCAGCCAAAACTCGTCCTATCATTAGTACTTGGAATGAAGGTGCAAGTGTCATTATAGCTGCACCAATTTGAAATACAACGGCAGCAAAGGCCATTGTCCACTTTCTACCAATAATATCTGATGTCCTTCCACCTGCTAAGCTACCCAAAAGTGAAATGATGCTCAAAATCCCAACGAGAACTTCTTCTTGTACCTCAGTTATCTTCAGATCTTCCTGTATAAATATAATTGCTCCACTCATGACGCCTACATCTGCACATGATAGATAAATTCTTAGCTGCAAGTGTTCTAAAACTGGTTGTTAGGTGGAACTCTATCAAAGGAAGTAGTTCAGAATGAATTTACTCTGGACAATCGTAGCAGATTTTTTGCAGGTGCACGTCATGAGGATCTATGATAAAGTTTAAGATCAAAGCTAGAGCTTCTACAGAAGGAAAGAGGTGTCAAATGGGTTGGATGGCTCATGACACGACACAGTTCAACATGGTATCAGTTGTGCTGAACACCGCTTGCTATTAAATAGTTGGATTGGACTAAGCACGATACATATATGTGTGTCATGCTAGATTAGAAGCTTTTAAACCAAAGGGTCAACACGGTAAGACCCGTTAAGGGTTAATGACAACACATGGCATGTAGGCTAGCACGGCACAATACGCAAGCCCAAATGTGCCGTGCCATATTGGCCTATAATTGTTATAAAAGAGCTTTTAGCCTTTGAGCGTATTCTTGTTACTTGTTACATTCTAATGAAATTATATTTATTTTTCATTAATTTATAAAATAAAATTATATTAAACAAATTTTTTTTAAATATTTACATTATTAATAAATAAAATATATCTAACTAGTTTGCAAATGGTTCAATACACGGATTATTTTTATTTCTTTAAATTTGTGTGTATAAAAACAAATTACCATTCTTTTCAAAGTTATATGATAAAAATCTTCAAACTTATTACATATATATATATATATATATATATATAAGATTTTAGTTGTTAAAAAAAAAAAAGGGACTGGTCATCTAAAAAAGCATAAGAAAAAACACGAAACTACATTTACTGCTTCTAATGATCCCACAAAATCTATACTTAGTCATCATCCTAATGAATCTTTAGGTGCATTTCATTTTTCACAAGATAATTGGCGTAATCAATTAGCTAAATTTATAGTGCGGTTTGAGCAACCGTTTGTTTTTGTAGATGATGAACATTCTAATTATTTTATTAGTATTGGTATACTACCCAATTATAAAACAATTTCAAGAAATTCCATTAGATCAAATACTTTTTAAATATTTTTTTCTTATAAAAAACATTTAATATCTAGTTTATAAAAAATTTCCTCTATATACCTTTTTCTGATATATGGACTAGTCCTTAGTTATATGTGTATTATTGGGCATTGGATAAATAATGTGTGTGTGTGTGTGTGTTTTTAAATATTAGGATTGTAAATTCAATATCTTTATTTAGTGGATTTTATTATCCATCTTTGTGGATGTAGATATTTTGTCAAACCACATAAATTATGTGTCCTTTTTATTTCATTCTATGTTTGTTTATCTCCCACATGTTATTTTTAATAATAATAGTTGATTTTTTTTTAAATAATTAAAATTTGAAAAGTATTAATGGGTTGTGCTTGGCCCAACTTAGCATGAAAATTAGTGTTGTGCCTAGCATAGTACGACTCATGAAGATTATGAGTCATGTATCGTACTGGGCCATATCCTTAATCCTCAAGGGCTGTGCTAGTACGACATGTTAAAAAATAGTGTTGGACTGACCCGATCCATTAACGCATGGACTAATATTTAAATGGGCTATGTCAACCCAACATGTTCCATTTGACACCTTTAGGAATGGAGTAATGAAGAAAATGACTACAACCAACAACACTTCTTGGCAATGTTCCTAAGCTCATGGATAACTTTTATTTAGAGAATTCAGTGGATTGTTAAGAAATAACATGAGAAGAAAATGTGTGTATCGGAGATAAGGATGCTTAGATGGATGTGTGATAAGATTAAAAGAGACAAAATCATAAATGAAGAGATTCGAAAAAAATTAAGGATAATCCGAAATGCAGAAAAGATGAGAGAGAGCCGTTTGAAATTGTTTTAACATGTGAAATATAAGCATATTTATGCACCAATTAGGAGAAATGAGCTTAGAGATTTGGGAGAGACTAAAACCTTTAAAGGTCGACCATAAAAAAAGTGAAGGCAAGTAATAAGAGATGATAGGATTAAGAAAGTAGATGAAAAGATTATTTTCTATAGAAATAAATGGCATTAAAAAATTCAAAATTACGATCTACAGTACTCATTTTCTTTGCCTTTCATATAGACAAACCTAGACTTATGGGATATAAGACTTAATTTATTATTGTTGTTGTTCTTTGTGGCGAATTCAGTGGACTGCGCATGAAGCTCTCATGTGAGCACTTTTACACTGAATTTGAAAATCTATTTCAATAACCTTAAGTTGTACATTCTGTATTGACTAAAAGAAAAAAAAAAGGAAAAATGAGTTTTAGAATACTTAAGAGAATTATTACACACCAAATAAATAGTCTATTTCCAAAATATTGGGATATATAGAAGCATCCATTAGTGTAAAAATATAATTAAATAGTTCCATCAACTAATGGAAAGATAGAATCCCCAGTTAAATTCGAGATTCATTATTCATGCAGGTTAACTGTAACAGCATTTTGGTCTCTGTAGATTAAGTCTAAGGTTACTACAAAACAAATATGCCAGCAAAAATGAAGAGTGCTTGAACTTGGATAGCGTTCAAGAAGGATGAAAGACTTGACAAACAGGATCATTTATGACTAGACAAACAGGACCATTTTTGAAAAAAAAATTCTCTGAATATAACAAGCCTGTGGCTAAAACTGTAGAAAACGAAAAACCAATTTTGGTGATAAGAAACAAAAGATTTCCTGCAAGCAGCAGCAGTTAAAGATGTAAAAAGCAAATTCTGAAGAGACAAGAAGGAATCTGAAGCAAACAAATGAAAAAAAATTAGTCTATAAATATAGTTTCTCTTGTAAAAAAGAGGCATCCATTATGTCAACTCTTTCTCATCTATATCTCTTTTGTTTTATGATTATTATTACTGGTATCATAGCAAGATTGAAAACAAAATGCTTTGCTATTTGTAGATTATCTTCGATTTCAATCAAAGTTATCAGTATCTATTTTGTAAGTTTTCTTTCTCATATTGTATCTCTTTTAATTTCCACTTATTACTCTAAAGTTCATATATTTGTTTACCTTCTCTTTTAGCGTCAGGCCATAAGAGCATCATCTTTAGCTAAACCTTGTAAAGATTTATGTATTCAAACAGTTTAAGATATTAATGAGCAATGAAAAGAAGTTAACAGAGTCTATATATCATAATGAAACTTATAATCATAGTATAAATGTAAAACCCGTATTTGAAAATAGTTTACCAACTATTAGTCATAGTATTAATAGACTTGTAGATTTATCTAAATCTCTGTTTAAAAAACTATTTAGTAAAGTAGATAGAATAGAAAACCAAATAAAAAATATAAGGCAACTAAGTCAGACTTAAATCCTGAGTCTAAACAACTATTATTAGAAGATAATTATAGACTAAAAAAACTAAGATAGACAAAGGTTAGAAACTATTATAGAGAATAATAGTACAAAAACCAATTATGGTCCTTTATGCTTTGGTAAGGAGATTAATTTTAAGTGATAAAGAATCATCTTTTTCAAAGAAACATGAAAAAGTGACTTTTTAAATATGAAAAAGGAGAATTTCAAGCTTATAAAAGACTTATATAACATCTTAAAACTAAGCTAAAAGAAGTAGATACTTCTAAAGAAAGGATAAAATACTTAAATATTATAGAGGAACTCTATCATACACATAAATCTTTGTACAAAATTTAATTATCATTATATGTTAAATTATGGAACTAATGATAAAAGTAATGGTGATAAGGAAAGTAGTATAGATGAAAATAGTAGTAGTGATACCAAAAAAGATAACAAGATTTTAATTATTAATCCAGTAGATAAAACATATGAATCTTCTTCTACTGAAAAAAAGAAGAAATAGATATAGAATCTATGGAAACAAATCAACTAGATCAAGCTCAAGATTAAAAAAAGAAAAGTAGGAGAAATCTCTAACCCAAGGATGGACGATCAAAATAGATTCCTAGAAGTGGGAAAGGAAGAAAAGAAGAAATACATGAAAGCAATTTTTTCCTGAATGTTCAACTGCATGATCTCCATTATCGATTTGCAAGCTCCAAAATTGATCCTCAATGAAGATGAGCAATAATAAGATGTCCAGGATACACAACCTAAGATCCCCTTATGATGATATTTTGAGCCAAAATGGTGAATTTTAAGCATCCCAAGGAGCTTAACAGCTGCAAAGACGGCAATCAACCACTCACCCGGGTTAAAGTTTCTAAATTACCAATTTTACTCACAAGAAAAAAAGAATATTGCAGATGTTTTATGCCTATATTATCTGGTTCTATTTAAAACAATATCAGTGAACTTTATAATGCTATGGATTGAATGTTATAACATTCCAATGTTTTGAAGTTAACAATTCTTTTCCTGCTAAATTTGTGCAGGTCAACGAGGGTAAAAAGAAAGGAAAAACTATCAAATTTCCAATATTTCCAGAAAGAAAAAAGTGCAGTCTTGACTTGCGAAGCAACCAAGCAAACCCAAAATATGAGAGATGAAGAGAGAAAAACTTACCATAGCCAAGAAGAACATTGTTGAGAGATGCAAAAATGGCACAAGCAAGAACATATTTCCTGATACTTCTCTTCCTCTCTAGTTGATGACGATGATGAGAAGCATCATCATCAAAATCATCTGATAACTTAGAATCCATTCTCTTGTACTTATTCTTGTTCCCCAAAGACAAAGCCATTTCCCCATTACCATTTTCTTGGACACCCACCAACCCCATAGATCTCCTTCTTTTGTTTCCTCCGCTGACTGTTTTAACTCACAAAACAGGAAAAAGAATACAGCAGACTCTGAAATTCCTTTCTGACTAACAACAAGAATTAATCCACGAATTGGGTTTTTAGATCTAAAGCAGAAAGGAAGAAAAAGAAAGTCCAATAAGCCAGCGGATGCTCTCTTTTTATCACGCAAGCAGGCCAGTTGGTAACATTTACAAACGTACAAGTAGTTAAAATCACAAGGTGGAAACAAAGAATTTATGATGTTTTCAAGGTAATAGTGTGTAAAATATGCGAAGATTCCTATAATTTTTGTCAATTTTTTGGTTGGCTTTTCTCAACTTCTATTACGAGTTGAATAGAAATGGCAGTATACCTTTGAGTATTTGCTTTATTCATCTTGGTTTTTAGGTTTGAGCAACATGGGGGGTTTGGGGAAAATATACTCGTTTTGGTGGAGATGTACTTTTACTTGGTCCCCCTTTTGAGGAAACAGCTAGGTTTTAAAATTCAACCCTCTGAATTTGAACAGGATGATGACTGTTTGAACGACTTAAATTTGAGCGTAAATTAAGTCCAAATTCGCCTTAAATTGTAGTGGAATAATGAAGTCGTCACTTCAGCGTTGGGGTTGGCCATGAGAATTTTCCAAGCCAATTACGCAAGGAGACGGTGCGAGTTCGTGTGTGCAAACCCCCCTCGTTGGCTGCACGACAGTGATTGCCAAATTATACATGGCCAGCCCTCAGCACTCCAAGGTAAAAGACCCCCCAAAAAAAAAAAGATAATCTATTATGAAGGTTTTATTTCTATTTATATTTGTTTTAAACATTTGGCTATTACAATATTTAGCACGGTTTTGTCTCACCGACAGCCCTTTTATCGCTTTACATGTCTAGCCATGAATTTCATAGGAGGTGAAAAACTTAGGGCTCATCCATAACATTATTAAATAAATAAATAAAATTATAAACAAAAATATTTTACTAGATTTCTAAATTCTTCTGACCGTATAAACTTTCTCTAGCATTTCAATTTATCAAATATAATAATTCGAATATGAGAACCCAATTTACATCTAAAAGGCATAATTATAAAAATATTTTTAATTTGTTCAACGATTAAATTTTCATTCTTTTGCATTACTATTATTTTTTTTCCTTTTTGTCATATCGAATATCAATAGGGTCCAGCTCCAGCTTGCACCTTTTCGTTTCTTCTCCTTTTTTTTTTTTTGTTCTTCTGGTCAAAGATAAGAATCATTGGTTGGACATTTTCCGTGTAACTTCAGTTTTGAATTTTCCTTTTCTCTAGCTTGTTAATTCTACTAAACTTTTTAGAGAGGTTTCTACCAAAATTTCCTTCCATTATTTTGTCTATTACGAATATGCTAATCTATAAAAGTATACGAATACTGTTTTTTATACGTTGATATATTTTTTTTTATAAAAAAGAATATGATTGATTTGATTATTTAAAAGATTAAAAGAATTTTACTCTTGATACTTATAGTGAACAAGAAAAGAAGCCACATCTAAATGCATGATATATAATAATAAAATACTTGAAAAGTTTACATAATAGAATTTACATTATATTCGTGGTATCTTAACATTTCCAAGGTTGCAAACTTTTTCTTTGCCTTCACGACTTTGATCATGTATAATAAATGACACCACATTAAGTCTTCCACCTTGTGCAACTATTAATTTAGTATTTACTTCAACCACTCCTGGATTTCTTGCGACCAAGCCGAGTTTCTCTTTGCCTGAACGTTGTTAAATGTTCCGGATTAAAGTTATATCATCTCCTCCATTTACTGAATTTCTCTCCGTCTGAACGTTGTTAACTACCCACTAACCTTAGATTTTTTAATCGACTTGGACGAGATCTATGGGGTTTTCCATGCTTAGTTTAGTCCAACCTTTTGAATTTTGGACTTATTTTAAGCTCATTTTTTAATTGACGGATTAACTTTTAGTTAATACATTTTCAACCTAATTTATTCATTAGTTACTTTAAATTGGATTCGGCATTAATCCATTTTATTGGCTAAATCCCTTCTTCTGACTTGTGGATTACTTTTGGTCTCATCATAACTTTAACAATGTTGTGTTAATTTTTATTTTTTCTAATTTTTTACTACACTTTTTTATAAATGAATCATTTTATATTTCTTTTCGTAGATTAATAAATTTTGAGTTAATTGTTTTTTAAATCACACTCATAATCAAATATTACATTCATATTATTTTATTGCAATTGAATAATTAACTATTAATTCATAATCAAGTCAAGATTATAAAATAATCAATTAACAAATTATAATATAACTAAACAATCAAATCCACATATAGTGAGACTTGATCTTATAACTTTAACACTATGTTTGGATTGAGGGGAGGGTAAGGAAATAAAGGAAATAAAGAAAAGTAATGGAAACAGAAAAATTCTTCATTTGTTTGGATAAGCTTTTAATTTAAAGGAAAGAAAAGAGGTGAAAACCCAATAACCTTTAATTTCTCTTGTAATCCTCACTTTTCTAATACCTTACGCAATGTTTGGATAAACATTAGTAAAAGAAATATGTTTGGATAAACATTAGTAAAGGAAATGAAAGGAAAGTAAAGTAATGGAAAGAAATGATATATGTACCCTTTGTTTAGATAGCTAAAAGTAATAAAGTAAATGAAAGTAAAAGAATTATAACAACCATTGTTTGGTTAAATAATGGAAAGGGAATGAAATGATTTATTATTATTTTTTTCAATTATAACCTTTGATAATCTTTGTTTTTACTATAATATTTACATGTTTATGTTAATGTATTTCATGTTTTCAATTTTCCTTTATTTCTTCACAAAATTAATCATCAATGAAATTTATGGAATTCATAAAAATAAGAGAAAAAATTGAAGACAATAAATCTATTGGTAAATGGTGTTTTATATTCTCAATTTAATTTTGGAGTTCAAAATCATATACTTTTAATTTAGAAAAATTAATAAGGATATAATAGTCATTTTATATTTTAAAAATTTTATTCTTTTTCTTTCCCTTCCCTTGTAATTAAAAAATAAAGAAAGTTAGGGGAAACCAATGGAAGCTAAGCATACATTCCTTTCCTTTATTTTTATTTATGTCATATACAAACAAAGCAAAGGATTCCCCATTTCCTTTTGTTTCCTTTCCATTCCTTTCCTTTCTCTCCCCTTACCTTAATCCAAACATGTTGTTAATTTGGGGGAAAAAATTAAAGAAAGAAAAGTTGAAAAAATTTTATTTTTATAAAAAGACTATTATATCCATATTTTTATTACGACATTAGATTTGATTATATAATTGACATTTCTTACAAAAATAATTTTCTTTTATGAGTATTTTATATAACATCATAGTTTATAAATATTTTATGATTTTTCAAGTCTTAACAACAAAATAAATCAAATTATTGTTAGAATAAAATTAAAAGTCTAAATTAAACATAAAATTAAGAGTAAATCAATAGCTAGTTAATATATCTTACTGTAATAAACTTGCTCAATTTTGTTTAGAAAGATTTGTTTATACAAATTAGGTAGTATAAAGATATATTTTTATATTATATGTTACTTTATTAAAAAAAGTTATAAGTGAAAAAATATAGTATAATGAATTATGTCCTTTCATTTTCACTATTTATGCAAACAATGGTTGTTAGAATTCCTTTCATTCATTTTTATTTATTAATTTTAACCATCCAAATAAGAGATACATGTTCCCTTTCCTTTCTTTTAAAAAACTTTCCTTTCCTTTCTTTTCTTTTCTTTTCCTTCATTAATAGCCATCCAAACATAGTGCAAAGTTCTAAAATGTCCTCATTGCCACTAAACAAGGCTTCATTATTGATAGTTAATTTTTATATATGACTATCCTTGGAAATATCTGTCAATCTATGAAAGTAAACACAAACTTGTGATTATTAGGTTGTAATGACATACACTGAGCTTGTTACACTGCCAATTACAAATTAAACCAATCAATAAATGATCAAATTATGTGATTTGTTCTTGTACTTTGATTAAAATATGAATTTAGTCCTTAAATTATTATTTGATTTAATCATTTTTTAATTTGAAATTTTAATTCAATTATTACCTTTTTTTTAATTTTATCATTAATATTGTTGACGTGACATTAATCATAATTATCAATGGTTAGTCAAAATTTTTAAGTTTAAAAATGTCATGTGACTTTTTTAGTGGCCATGTGAAATGTTTTGGATTAGTCCCATCATTATTTTCCAAATTTTTTTATAATACTATATTAATTACAACTTTAATACAAAATTAAGGCATCTTATTCAAATAAAACACATTTTTAAAGTTTTTTTTTTGCATTTTATTTATCAACATAGGCTTTCATTTTGCTTTTTGAATTTGAATGCTCAAAACTCATTAATCCTTGTTTGTCATGAAATATACACTCAAATGGTGCAAAATGAACTCATTAAAATAAAACACTTAAATTGACCCAAAATCAAAACCCAATGTTTAACTTTTCTTCTACAAATAAATATTCTACAATAAAGAATCCTACATCCATTACACCACAATCAAATGTTAAAACTAAAAAAATTATGCAAAAAAACCTCTATTAAGTTTTACCAGAAAACCTACCCATCTTCAATCAAGAACCATTGCCACAACCATATCACAACCATTAGAACCTGAAACCTAGCAAAAACTAAAGCACATTTTCATTAAAGAAAAATAACAATAATAGAAAAACACAATAGATAGCAAAATATCACAATAAGAAATGAAAAAGTATGTTTTAGGGTTTCGATTTAAGGAAGTTTAGTGAGGTTTTGAGTGAGAAGAAAGAATGAAGAAAGAAAAGTGAGATGAAAGAAAAGAAATAAGAAAGCCATCATTAATAGAGAAGATTAAAGCTAGAATTAAAAGCTAGGCTACAAAATAACTTTAATATGTGAGTAGATTACAACTTATATGGTCAATGATTTTCAGTACATAGAATTATTAGTGTAGGCATTTTATTTTGCCCAAACATGTGCTTAAGAAGATAAATCAGGTTTGCCTAATGATAACTCTAACAAATAACTTCATTTTCACCTCTAACATGTTAGAATTACTAATATGTAGGAAAAGTCAAAGGAAAGATGTAATTTGATGAATTCTTGGTGATTTGGACAAGATTGGGATGAAAAAAAATGCAAGGATTGTTCTAATTTAGCTTTGCCACACTTATTTGTTAGAAGAGTTGATGATTTCTCATGTAAGTATTGCAATGTTCAAGGATAAATTTGGTTGTAAATTTTAGTTACAGAATTTTAGTGCAAATCCATAGTGTTCTATGTAAGTGCACAAGCATGAAATTATTGTGGGATGACATGGTAGCAAATTATATCTCACTGGCTAAGAAAGATGACTTAGATGTTGATGTTGCATGATAACATAGCATTAGAACTTAAAATTCCTTTTAAAGAGCATAAAATAATTTTGAAGTTTTCTTACTTGAAGTAGGAATTCTTAGTTTGCTTGTGATAAGAGAATTGAAGAGTTAAAGTTCAAATCTGAATTTTATGAAAGTCTTGGTGCAAGTTGAAGTCCTAATTGAAGTTAGAGTCCTATTTCAAATGGGAATTCTATTCTAAGTAAGAGTCATTATACAAGAA